CTCATGCGTGCAGCTGAAGTCACTTACACTAATTACCAGGGGTTAATCATCTCTGGCCTTGAAGGTGGGAGCTGACTGATAACACAGGTGCCTGTGGTTGGCAACATGCTGCTCTCACAAACAATGGCAGCCTGCCCACAGCTCTTCCAGCTGCAGACCTACAATGAAGGAAGATCTCAATTTCTTCCCCTAGATTATTGGCAGGTCTTGGAAATAACCTGTTACAGATGACAACATACTTGTGATCAGTTTCTCTGTCTAATAATTAAGATACAGTGTAAGTTACATTGCTGCAATACTTAGTGATGAACCTCTGTGTAACTACTAGGATTTTAACTTTACAAGTAATAACGTCCCGCTTTCTGCAGTATGAATTTTCTGTTACCTTTATAGTTGTATCAGAATGTTCCCAGTAAGCTGAGGAGGAGGCATTGACTCAAATGCCAACTCGTGCTGTTACATTTGAATCATTTCTAGTAATTAAAATGAACTTTTAGGTAATTTTGAGGGAAGGGGGAAAATAGTGAGTTACTTTTTATATCACTGACAATCTTTTGAGGTAAGTGATGTGCAAACCTTTATCAGTTACTTTTTATAAATAAATCACAGATGAGTGATACTAAAATAATTGCTTTTGAGTTCTCCAGCTTGATATTACAATATTTAGGATTAGGGAGGAGTAAAACATTTTTTAAAAAACAGCATGTTTGCCAGATGTTATAGCTGTGGGAAGTGTCGTTACCAAAGTCCTGAAATGAAGACCACAGGCTTGAAGTGTCGACTGTATGTTGTTGTGTGGTTACACCTGAAGGGCCGCAGAAGCAATTGCCTGTCTCCATCTCTACAGAGCAGGGTGGGCAACTATATGGTAGGCCTGGGGTCAACTTTCTGCTGCTGAGACACAAAAAACACATGGACCATGCAGGCTGCCCCCTCCCAAAGCTTATACAATGAAAGCTAGAAATTTATCTCCAGTTTTTAAAAAATGGGTGTGGGGTAAGTTTACATGGTAGGGGAATGGCTTGTGACCTATTTAAAGTGTGAATAACCAATCCTGTAGGAACCCAGAACTTGCAACTTTTTTTTTGGCAGAAATAGGAAAGGGCTGAGCTCTGCAGTTCTAAGATGATGATGATGATAAGTGGAGCCCACAAACACCACCTCGGAGGGGACAGATGAGGCCCAGGACTGTATTTTGTCCATAGCCTTAATAGGCACTATGCATGTTTAAAAGGGGCAGTAATAAGACTATTACTGAAAAATCCCTCCCTGGATCCCACTTTACTGAACATGTATTTATCTGTCTCAAATATTTGATTTCTGGGCAAGGTACTCGAGTGTGTGGTGGTTTCTCAACTCCAAGGATTCCTAGAGGAAGCAGATTATCTAGACCAGTGATGGCGAACCTATCCCATGCGTGCCACAGCTGGGACACTGAGCTCTCTCTGTGGGCACACGAGGCATAAGTCACAATAGAGAAATACTTACCTGTCCTCCGATCCTGGATTTTGGCACTCCCCTCTGCTGCTGCAGTGGTCCAGCAGAGGGCTGCAATGGTGACCATTATCGGTTTATCCCAATGGGAGAGATTGGAGGACTGGTAAGTATTTCTTTGTTAATACCGCCCATGGGGGGGGGGAACACAAGCATTTAACCCTTGCAGTGCAGGAGCAGTTGCTTTTTCTAAACTAAAACCTCAGCATTCTGGTTTTAATTGCAATATTGGCACTCTGAAATAAATAAGTTGATTCTGTGTTGCAGTTTGGGCACTCGGGCTCAAAAAAGGTTCACCATCACTGATCTAGACCCATTTCCATCTGCTTCAGACCTGGCTATGGGGCTGGAGACTGCTTTGGTTGTCTTGGTGGATGAGCTACACCAGGAACTGGATAGTGGGAGTATGTCTTTGTTAGTTCTGCTGGACCTCTCAAAAGTTTTCAGTACTATTGACCATGGCATTGACTTCTGGACCATGTATCTGGGATGGGACTTGGAGGCACTGTTTTACAGTGGCTTCAGTACTTCCTGGAGGGGAGAACTCAAAAGGTGGTGCTGGGGGGACTCCCTAGTCATTGGCCTGTGGAGTTCCCCAGGGTTGTTTTGTCCCCCATGCTTTTAAACATCTTCATGAAACTGAACTCAAAACGTGGTGCTGGGGGGACTCCCTAGTCGTTAGCCTGTGGAGTTCCCCAGAGTTGTTTCGTCTCCCATGCTTTTAAACATCTTCATGAAACTGCTGGAGAGGTTGTCTCGAGTTTTGGTGTCATCAGTATGTGGGTTACACCCTATGCTCTTTGCCTTTTCCATCCAATTCCAAGGAAGCTGTCTTGATTCTAAACCAGTGCCGTGGTGCTGGGGGGACTCCCTAGTCGTTAGCCTGTGGAGTTCCCCAGAGTTGTTTCGTCTCCCATGCTTTTAAACATCTTCATGAAACTGCTGGAGAGGTTGTCTCGAGTTTTGGTGTCATCAGTATGTGGGTTACACCCTATGCTCTTTGCCTTTTCCATCCAATTCCAAGGAAGCTGTCTTGATTCTAAACCAGTGCCTGACATCTGTAATGAGCTGGGTAAGGGCGAACGAACTGAAACTCAATCCAGACAAGGCAGAGGTGCTCCTAGTCAATTGGAAGGCAGATGAGGGAATAAGGATACTGTACAACCTGCATGGGATGGGGTTACACTCCCCCTGAAAACTCAGGGTTGCAACTTGGGTGTACTCCTGGATTCATCCCTGAGCCTGGACGCCCGGGTTTTGCCACTGGCCAGGAGTGCCTTTGCATAGTTAAAACAAACATGCCTGCTGCAGCTGTTCTTTGAAATGTCTGATTTGGCTACGGTGATGCATAACTTAATGACATCTTGCTTGATTATGACAGTCTACCTGGGGCTACCTTTGAAGATGGTCCAGAGAACCTTCAGCTGGTTCAAAACCGCAGCAGCCAGACTCTTCACTAGGTCTAGTTAGAGCATATAACACCCCTGGTACAACAAATGTACTGCCTACCAGTGTGGGCCCAATCAAAGTGCTGGTCATTACCTATACAGCCTGCGTTCGAGCTACCTGAAGGACCACCTCTCTCCATATAAGCCTTCTAGATGCTTGAGATAGTCCAAGGAGGCCCTCCTCTTGGTCCCATTGCCAGCGCAGGTCCAGTGGATGGAGACACGAGAGCGTCCTTCTCTGTCGCTGCTCCCAGGTCATGGGATGCTCTCCCTCCAGCCATCAGTTTGATCCCCCTCCCTTTTATCCTTCCTCTGACAGCAGATGACTCTGCTTTTCAGGAAGGCTTTTAACAATCATGATGACCAAGTCCCTGAATGCCATCTGTTAAGATACAGTACTTTTAAAAGTTTTTAATGTTTTTCCCCATCCAGTGTATTCTAATGTATTTGTTTACTGTGCTTTTAATTCTGTTCTATACTGTGAGCTGCCTTGAGTCCTTTTCTCAGGAGAAAGGCAGCCAATAAATAAATAAAGAAAGCAACTTTCCAGGATAAGGTAGTTTGTTCATTTAAGCAAATGCTTAAGTTCATCTAAGCAAACGCATAATAAAATTCCTTAATCTTTAAAAGTGCCACAAGACTCTTCACTAGTTTTTTTTCTGCAAGCAAGTAGGATGGGGGAAATTTCCAAACTGAGGTAAAAAAAAGGGGGGGCGTATGTGACTCAGAAGTATGTTCAAGTGTAGGCACCTTGTGTATGTGACAACAGTAGGCGCCGTTGTTGAAAAAGTGTATATGAACTTGTGAAACAAGCTTCTGACTCACACCCAGCTCTTCTCCCGCCATGGAGTTTCCCCATAGCCTCTCTTATGAGGGGAGCCGTTTGCCTGCCCGCCTCTCCTCCAGAGAGTGAGAGCCCCCCCTTTTTCCTCCCTTCGGCCGCTAGAGGGAGGGAGAAGGAGGGTTTTCAGCAGGACTTTCACGAAAGACGCCTCCGCCCGCCTGGGCTGCAAGGGCGGCGTGACGCCCCCCTCCCTCCCACGGTGCAAGCCGAGTGGGCGACCTGTCGGTGGGTTCTCAAGGACTCTGTAATCGTTGGTAGTTGTGGGTTTTTCGGGCATCCCACCCGCCCCCCTGTGCTCCTGTCCAGAGGGGCAAGCTGGGGAGGGGGATGCTGAAGTGAGGTCATTGGAGATTGCAAAAGGAACGGTGTGACTGCGGGATCTACCTGGATCCTAAAAGACTGGAATGATGGGATGGCCTGGTGAAGGGATGGAAAGGCATACACCCCCGCCAGCCAGACCACCTCGTCTAAAGGCGGAGCGCAACCTGCTCTTTAACATTAAAATGTGGCAAGGAAGATTTTTTTTTTTAGGAGCATCCGCCCCCGCCCCGCCCTAAATCCCATACACGTGATCCACTCCCACCCATCCACATTGAAGGATTCAAGCTGGAAATTGCCTTGGCCGGTATTCAAGGCCCGATTTCTTTTCCAGCGCCCCTCAGTTTTATGCCAAGGCTCAGCCCTGAACGCCTTCCTCCCCCCCCCACACACACACAGCCCGAAAGTCCACCTGCCCCAACCCTGCAGAAACAATAATTCGTAAGGGATGCTGGGCGATCCGAGTGGTGCCCTGCCTTCTCCCTCTGATAAGACGCTGCAACCGCTCAGGGATGCCGGAGCCTCAGCCGTAGCTGGGTTCCTAGATGAAAATGCGAATAAATAAACGAGCCGGCAACCACACACACACACACGAAACCCATGGGCTTTGAGACCCAGGAAGCTCTCCGTCTGGCTCAAGCGCCCATTCTCCCCTCTGCTGTTACAGTATTCTTGCTCTTCTACACCTTCATCATCGCCGCCTGCTCGCTCCCCCTCTCGAGCAGGTGACTCTGCTCTTTTCTTCTCCTCGCCTCGCCCTCCAAGGCCATGGGGGCGAGCGCGTGGGGGCACGGGCACGCCAGGGGGGCGCCCCCCCGTTTTGCTGTCCCCGCGCCTGCCGTCTTTTCCCCCGCTTTGGCCAGCTCCCTGCCATCCTTGCTCCTGCCAGAGCAGCGTCCTCCCTCTGCGGCTGCCTTCGGGGGCTCCTCGCCCCACTGAGCCAGGGGAGGAGAAAGACCTGGCACGTCCCAGGTTGCAAGCAAGCCCCCACCCCCCCGATCCGAGCTGCGGTGGACCGAAAAAGTTACAGCTTCTCTCTCTCTCGTTTTAAGGAACGGCACCTGCATTGTGACTTCCTGTTCAGTAAGCGACTGCCGCTCCTTCCTATTTTTTGGTGGTGGGGTGGAGTGAGTAAAGGAAGGGGGGGGGAGAGACAGTTTTTAGCCCAGCGGTTGACTTCTCTCGCCTTCTCTAGAGCACACACACACACGTTGCTCGCTAGCCTAAGATTGACAAGGATGGAGCCCTCTTCGTTGGACGCGAACTAAGCAGATTCTCCTTCCCCCTCCCTTACCCACCTACCCCCTTTCTTGAAATTATCAAGGCGGAAGGCAGAGGCAAGCATCAAGATGATGGTGGTCCCGGAGGAGAAGCGTTGAGGAGTCACCTTGTTGAACGACGACCCCCCCACCCCCACCCCGTTCCTTATCCCCATCAATTCAACTCTTTCCGGTCACCTAAGAGCAAAAACCATGGACAACCGACTCGACTGGGTTGTATGCATCTGAGGGATCGCTTCACACGTGTCGGGAGTTTTCCCTCTGCCTCCCAAATCGTTGGGGGCGAAAGTTCCTTTTCTGGATTTTAAAAGAAGGACTTTGCTCGCTCTGACCTCTTTTTTTGCCTCCTTTCGGAGGAAAAAAAACAAACGCTACCTATTTTAAATTTCTGGGAACCACTTATTTATTTGACTGTGTTTGGGAACATTCATATCTGAGGATGGGCAATGCAGCTAGCAGTATGGAGATGTCTCCAGCGAAGGAGATTAAAAGCCAGCCGACAGCTTCTTCGCCCCTGCCTCCCAAACATCCTGCACCCCCCAAACAACCCATGCCCAGCTGTGGAGAACTGGAGGAACGATTCTCTCATGTACTGGTAAGTGTCTTCTGGAGACTCCTTACAAACACTTTGCAAATGGCCTCTCTTTTCCCCAGCCATAATTCTAGGGATTTTTAGCCAGTCCTAGGGATTGTATGTATGTCCTTTGTGTGTACACAACAAACTAGCTTCACAAGAGGGACTGAAGAAAGATAAACGGACATTTTTGTCAACCTCTCCGCTCTCAGTATATAAGCATGGTGAAGCAGGGGCTCTTTGGAGCCAGTATGACTGATAGGAACCAGATAGCAAGTGTGTTGTGAGAATTACCCATGCTAGGTTATTTCTTTGCTGAAAGCAATATCCGGTGCAGCTTAGAAACCGAACATCTAGAATATTAATAGAAATGGTCAAGTAGATGACCCTGTCTCGAGCCTGGGGTCTTAGCCAAGTTAGAGGTGTGTGAGTATGGAGTGAGGTCAGAGGCAACTCCTGGTTCATTCATCTGGGGAGGTGTGTGTTCTTGCATAGTCTGCATCTGCCATGGATACGAAACAGTATTTCTCTATGCTTCCTGAAACTGTTCTGATGTACAATATCGCAGAGTCCTGGAGTTACAGTTGTTCTTCTGCACAGCTGGTGCTAAATTGATGTTAAGTAGCAGTTAGCAGAGATGTTTCCTAGCCTTGTGTTCATAGGTGAGGCTGGATGATGTCTCCCATCATGAATATTTTCCATGTTGATTGAGGATAGTAAGAGTTGTAATACAGGATCATCTTGGGACCAAAGGCAGGAAAAAGCTGCAAGATGTTTCTGTAACAGAATTCCACAGAACAATGCCTTGTCCTCCAAGACCATTGACTTCCACCATGGATCTGCTCTTAAGGCCTTGCTCTCAGTCTGGTGTCTCTGGATTTCAATTCTCATTTTTAAGCCTAGGAAGAGAAGATCTTGGCCATTACTTTTGTTATTTACACTGGACAGAACCAGCTCCATGGGCAGGCCACATTAGGTACAAGGTGATCAAGCCCCATGGAAGCCACCAGATGATCCGCAAATTCTTGTCTCCTACCAAGAGAGTCCACTATTTTCTTCAAAATTTAGCCACTGTTATATCTATCTGTGCTGCTGAGGAATTGGCTTCTACACATAGCATCCTACCATGAACTATGCAGCCACATGGTACTAAGGACAAGCAGGGCAGACTGAAACATTTGTAGCTCTGTCCCCACCCCAACAGCCTGAACCTATTAAGCATGGGATGCCCTGCTCTGGGCTTTGAAGGGATTGTGGCGCTTAGCTTGTGAGCTCTTCGACACTACCCCAACAGCTTGAACCTATTAAGCATGGGATGCCCTGTTCTGGGCTTTGAAGGGGTGGCGCTTAGCTTGTGAGCTCTTCGACACACTGCAACTTGGACCGTGAAGGCTTTCTAATCTGGGGAGTGGGAGAACGGATGTTTGGGGGGGATCTTTTTTCCAGGGGCTGTGAGGTGGATACTAGGTGGCCATGTGAAAAAGAGGGCAGGAGTTCTACACCTTAGGTCGGTGGACAGAAGAGAGAATTTTATAACTACCACAGCTGAAATTCGTTGTCCAACTGTGACTGTGTTTTTCCCCCCATTCATCGGGGTTGGGAAACAGGCACTCAAAAATTACTTAGTGTTGATGAGTTTCTCTTATCATTCTCACCTACACCCCACTGTGTTGTTCTTGCAGATCCCTTGGTGGTGCAAGTCTTTCTCCCTCTGATTTCTCCTCCCATTCAGCACATGCTTTAAGGGCAGTTGAAAACAGGGTGGTACTAGATCTTCTGGGATGAGGCAACACCAAGGGCGTGGCTTGTGCATGTGGCTTGAGAGCACAGACACTTTACAAATATTATGAATCTCTTCCTAAATTGGGTTGCCATGAAGACGTCTAATAAGTCACATTTTGCAGGTTACTTTAATTCAATTGTAATTGAATTTGATTCACATTAAATTAAAAACAGCAGAGTGCTCCGGGAAGCTCTGTTATCATCTATAATGCCCTTTTACCATCCCTCAGAACCTGTCTGTGCAGATAGGAGAATAATATGGTGGGGCAGTTGAGTTATATCCCTATATAACGCACTGAGAGCTGAAATGAAACAAAGGTTTTGGCCATCTAGTTCTCACTATTTGGAAGTTCTAATTGGAAATTCTAATGAGAACTGAGATCTACAACTCTGCAACTCTGTCTGGTTTGCCTGGGAACAGCCACAGTCCATTAATTCTGAAGCAGCTGCTTTGGCTGTCTCTTCACTTTAAAGGTGCTGCTGCAGTCTGTCTCTGCATTAAGATAACCAATGGAGACCTTTTTCTCTGTGCTTAGTAGAAAAGAAATGCACTTTGCATTAACAGAAAGAAGGTCCTCCTCTGTGGTGGCAACCCTGCCGTCAGAATGGGCTCCAGTGGGATGTGCAGCAGGTGCCATTGGGATATTCTGTGAGAAGCTTAACTTAAAATGGCTTTATTTGCCCAGGCATTTCCAAATAATGATAACACTTGATATATGATTAGAATTTAACTGTAAGTTTAAGCTGATTGATGTAGTTTTAAGACTCTTGGTTCAGCTGCTTACCTTTAGTATGTAAGTTGTATTGAGTTTTAATAAGTTTTTTTTGCTGCTCTGAAATACCCTTTCAGATGAAGTCATGATATATAATTTAAAAAAAAATAAGCAAATCATAACTAAAAAAGCATGCAGTGTTCCTACAGAAGAAGAAGAAGGCAGGTGACATCTCAAGTATTTGCATAGCATTGTGTCCAGGAGTGTGAACCAGAGAAGGTGTTGTTCTACGCTCACTTTGGCCATAAACCAACCGGCTTGCTAAGGACATCACCTCTTAGCTTCATTTCCACCATCCAAATATCTATATGGGAATAATCACACTAGCCTACTTTACTGATTTTTTTTACTGATTACTGAGTCGCTTACATTGGCAATTATCTTTTTTTAAAAAATAAATCAGCACAGGAAGGTTAGGAAATAAAATGCTGAACAATGAACACAAGCAAGGCTTAGCTGCAGCCAGACCTCAGCCTCAAAACTCATTTTAATGGAGTTCAGCCTGGAATATGTGATGTAATAATAGAGAGTGTGCTCCACTTGGCACTACCAACAGCAGCCAGAACTGATCTCCATGTGTAGGAGGGTATAGGGGGAAGTGCTTCGGAGTTCAAGAGTGTGGCCTTCAGTACTTGAAAGCAAAAAAGATCCCACCAGAACTGGTGTAAGGTAATAGTTAGGAGTATGTCATTCCAAAATTAGTTAGACTGTGAAATCCTTTGGTAGCTTTCTCAGAATCACTCTTCTTCAATCTCAGACCTCAGTTGAGGACCATTGTTTGTTATTTATTTTTTGCTTTTTTTCAGTGAGGTCAAATGGTATACAGCAGTGGTCCCCAACCTTGAGCCTCCAGATGTTCTTCGACTACAATTCCCAGAAGCCTTCACCACCACCTCTGCTGGCCAGGATTACTGGGAGTTGAAGTCCAAGAACATCTGGAGGCCCAAGGTTGGGGACCACTGGTATACAGTACATAGTTCTCCTCCTCCTCCCTACTTCATCCTTACAACTACATTGGGAGGTAGATGAGGCTAAGGAACAATAACTGTCCTAATGTCATAGCTTAGTGGAGAGGTGAACACAGATTCCCCAGCCCCAGTCTGACCAATCCACCACACTGGCTCAATTGCAAGAGCCAATGCCTGATAATAAGATCACAATGTGAAGGGATACAGTAAGCAATCCAGCTACATAGATCCTTGTCTAGTCAATGCAGGGATGGGTGACCCTATATACTCATGTATATTCTACATTGATTTCCTTGATAGGAAGGTGGGCAGTTACATTATGTCAAAAGCAAAATGGATTTAACAAAGGAGGAGTTAAAAGAGAAGGTATATGTGCATGAAATGTGTGCGCGCGCCAATTGATATTTAATGATATACATTTATAAATAATGGCTAGAATCCTATCACAAACCCTCTGACAGCCAGAGTGCCTATCCTATTTTCTTAACTTTCAGTTATTTGCCACTAAGATTGACACCAATTGTATTATGCTGGTAGGGGCACATAATATGATTCTGGCCAAAGTGTCATTTAAAAACAAAGATAAGGTGCCCAACTCCAGTGAGGAACAGTGGAACAGGGTGAGCTGTACACCTGCTGAAGCTGCTGCTAACTCTGGATAGATGGCTTGAAGGGCCCTGCCTGCTCTCCCTTCTTGACCTTCACACCCAACGTGGGCTGAAGTGCCCTTCAAGTAGAGTAATGGAATCTGCCAACTCTTCAAGTAGCACTGTCTTTGCAGAGGGCTTTCATCTGCAAAAAAAGAGTACACTGCAAAAAAAGGGCCAACTTTGAAGAAAGGCAGATTGGATGTAATAAAATAATTGTTCATATGACTTTGTGTATAATGCATTTTTTCATATATATGCACACCATCTCATACATTGTTCATATGACTTTGTCTAAGGAGTGTATAATACATTTTTTTCATATATATGCACACCATCTCATAATGTATACATTTCCGTATACATGACATGTATACAGAATGAAAAGTATACAGAATGAAAAGCTGCATTCAAAAAGTGGGAGGAGTGCATGCACTTAAGGGACAGCAGGGTTTTTTGGAAGTGTAAATTAGATTGGTTTGCCTTAAGATGCAAACTGAAGCAATCCCTCCTTCATCTGTAAGAAGTAGTAAAATTAAGAGGAAGGAGGGGTTCATCCCCTGTTTTCCCCTGCAGCACATTTCTCATTTTGGGTAACGGGTGGCTGAAATGTTTGTGTCTAGATTGTGCTCTTCATTCTGCTGTCTTGCAGGAAATGATGGGTGGGGATCTCTGTCATCATAATTACCATTCTGTGTGGCAGAAAGTCATGTGGGCCAACAGTCACTATGTGTGTGTAAAAGGAAAATAAAGGTCATCGAAAACATTTCAATGATTACTTCTTTCTCTCTCTATCAATAATGTGCTTTTTCTGAAAAGCTATCTTCTCCTGACACAGTTGTACTGAATAG